GATCTCTTCTCTCTTGAGGTTTCCATTGAATCCAAACAACTTGTCCTGGTATCAGTGCTATCAGTCTTTAGCTTCTTTGTCAAAATATGTTTTGTATGCATCTTTCTTTTTATTCCACTTTTAAATTACTTTCACAGGAACATATGGACGCAGCAGATCTTACCAAGTGGGTAAAAAGCTTTTAGTTCTTCTAAATTAACAACTGAGCTGGACTCTTGCCAATTTCTTTGAGTGGTGTAGTTCACAACTCAAGAAGAGCCTAAAGTCATTTTACCAACAAGATTGGTAATGTTCACGAATATAGTTCCATGAGAATATCATAATTTTAATAATGCTTGATTAGATTATGCAAAATGCGGTGGAATAAATTTATGCTCTTCACGACGTGGGCCTAGAAAAATTAACAATATAAAATTCAAAATTAAAAGTCAACAGATTGGAGATTTAAGACAAACTCTGTTACAATTAGAGATTAAATTCAGTTGCATAATTTTATCACACGACCTGAGGCATCTCGTTACCTTAATCTGTACCTTGAGTGGCTGACAGTTATATTTTAATGGACTTACTGTAACCTACAGCTAAGTTGATTGGTTGCCATTTAAATTATATGAATTAAAAATATATTGTTTTTATGTATCCTATATGGGTTTTTTGCTATAGTTTATTATTTCTCTTTCTGCACGAAACAGTTTGAGTCCTCTAAAGTTATAAAAATAGACATCTATATAGCTTCGTGTGGACTTTTTATGCTTTAATTTGCCCAAAACTAACAAAAAATACAATTACAAACTCTACCAAATGGTATTGCATTTATACCTATTATGATGATCCCTACGTAAAAACATAAATCGTAAGACAAAGTGTCAGTTTCATCATAATAGGTTGTATCAAAACTAACAGAAAATACAATTACAAACTCTACCAAATGGTATTGCATTTATACCTATTATGATGATCCCTACGTAAAAACATAAATCGTAAGACAAAGTGTCAGTTTCATCATAATAGGTTGTATCAAAACTAACAGAAAATACAATTACAAACTCTACCAAATGGTATTGCATTTATACCTATTATGATGATCCCTACGTTAAAACATAAATCGTAAGACAAAGTGTCAGTTTCATTATAATGCAATAAATCAATAACGCATGAACTGTGGCTGGGTGGTAAAGTTTAGGGTCTAACACCGCAGATTGGACTTGGCTGTGGGGTTTGATTACGAACACAAACATGTAACAAATTGGGTTGGCCGCCGAGCCAAGACCAACTTGATAACCAACTTTTGACAACTATGCCGTCATGTGGATGTATTAAACTATCCTGAACCGATTACAGTTTAAAACAGTTTGCGCTCAATCCGGTTATTGAGTTGATGGAACGTTAGTAGTTACTTTGTATTTGCTAAATTAAATTTACTGATGCAAATAAACTTGTGTTATTTGTTATCATTTTAACCCTAAAATGATGATGAAATTTTAGGGTGGAAAGAACACTCCCATATGCTAAGGAGAATCATGCAAGAACCATTTTCTGCCTTTACCATGCACCTTTCACCAAAGCGGATCATGGAAATTACTTTGGTAAACCTAGGGATTACCCTTTGGTACTTTAACCCAGGAAACCGCCATTACTAAACAATATAGTCTTATGATGGAACCTGTCTCCAGACCCTCGAGCTACCGTCTAGCTACGAACTAGCCAGTGATTTAAGGCCCCAGGCTATCGATAAACCTAGGGGTCATCTAGGCAACCTTCGTCTCTTTGAAACAAAACACTATAATCTGTATGGTAATACCTGACTCCTGACACTCCGTCTACCTAAGGCCAGTTTCAGGTAGATGGAGGGTCCAAAGACAAGTTCCTTCATATAGACTACATAGATAAAGATTCTTTCTTTTTACCCCTCTATCCCAAACGGTTACTGTAATGATAGGTGCCAATGTAGATGCAAGCTGTCGTCTTTTTAAATACATTTTCGTGCAGACACCCTACCTACTATAGGGCCAATTTGTACCAGATATTACTCTTAACCTGATAAAAATTGTCATTGGTACAAATAAATTACGCGTTCGCCAAAAATTGCCACATCGACCAGTTGGAGTAGGTAAAAGACAACGATTTTTAACGCCTTCGATATCACTATGTACATCAGACATAGTATTGCACTATAAACATAGAACATTCATTTTCATCCCAAGTAAATGGTCAAAGCAAAATAACTGTATTTTTTTACCAAATCGCTACTGGAATATTGAGTATGTGACGTTTTAATTAGCTTAAATTTCCTAATTTTATTGCCGAGCTGACTAACAGATTTGGGGCACGAGAATACTAATTGTAATATGTGCTAGCAACCTCGAAACCTTTTTGTTAGTGAAAAAATACTTTCCATTGGAAATCTGTATTATGTAGGGTATGTTTTTAAATATTTCATCTAGAAACAGTCGTTTTCAAATCGGTAGGTTCCTTATTTTGGTTCTTAATTGTTAGCTAAGTATGATTGAAACTTCCTCATTGTTACCAAACACGATAAATAATCAATTTCAACAGTATGATTCTATCAAAGATCTATTTAAAAATATAAAAGTACTGTACTAATATTTTTGACGGCTTTAATCATGTGTTTTTTTTTTTAATTTTGCATTGCTCTGCAGTTATTTTATATCCTTTTTCACTCATCAATGATAACATCATTGTTTTGAAACATATTAACCACACAAAATGTGTTCATAAACCCCCTTAAACATATAACATGTTAAATTAAATCTAATTATAACTGAGGCAAACACGGTTATAGCTTCTGTCACCATTAACCTACATTTTACAGCTCTGCTTTTTCAAGCTATACAACGCAATAACTCTTTAATAATGGAAGTTTCTTCCTAATGTAGCGGCCTCTTTAAATTGACTAACATTAAAATACTGTAGTAATGGTCATCATGACCATTAATCTACAAGTTTTTCAAGCTACACAACGCAATAACTCTTTGATAATGGGAGTTTCTTCCTAATGTAGCGGCATTTTTAAATTGACTAACATTAAAATACCGTAGTTATGGTTATCATAACCATTAATCTGCAAGTTTTTCAAGCAATACAACGCAATAACTCCTAATAATGGAAGTTTCTTCCTAATGTAGCAGTCTCTTTGAATTGATTACATTAAACTTCGCCAAGATCATTAAGCACCAGCTGTCTTTATAAGTCTTAAAATTGACTAATATTTTTGATTGTTGGCCAAAATATTAATTAGATATATTTGGTAAACGGCAACATTATGTTTATCAATCAAACTTTATTAGGTACCGAACGCATCTAATTCAGAATCCTTTGCCAAGCCCTTTTATTAATAAAACATCGAAGATTTTCAGAAACGTTGGTCATAAAAAGCTTAATTTAGTTATCAAATCTAATTAGTGCTGTTTTATCTAAACTTTGGAGTATCAAATCAGACAAATTATCGTAAATATTTTATATGATGTTGTACGATAGGCTATTTATGCAGTTATGTTATGTTGTCTCATGCATTCCTTACCAAAGTCTCATGCTGACCCATCGCTAGTTAAATTTCTAGAATTTATATACACTATATTGTCATCAAACTAAATTGGTTTGACAACTACCACATTATAAAGCGCAGTATACGACTTATTAATGATGTTTGGGGGTCGAGCTAGTCTAGTGGTAAAGTGCGAGACTTCGATTGCCAAGGTTCTGGAGCTCAAATCACACTAATCAACAACATATTTTATCTCATGATGCGCAACCTTCTAGGTCTAGCTATAACTTTAGCGAATAGCAGCAAACAAATTGTTTTACAAAATCTTTTTTGTAAGAAAAATATTTACTGTATTTTATGTACCAACAATTTAATTACCCACGATTTTTCTAGTTCTAGGGACCCTAAAATGTAGTCACTTTTCGATTAATAATTCTCACCTTTAAATATATAAATTCGTAGTGATAGTAATATAATAATTTATATTGAAGCATTTTCCTTTCCATGTGTAGTTAAACATTTCTTGCAAATTTCCTTAGTTTATATTTGTATTTTTTATGTTCAGTTATGGAAACTAATAGTCAAGACCACGCTTTGTACCCTACTGCAACATCGGTATTTTGAAATCCTGTTTAAAAACTATTAATTACTACATTGAAGCGTCCATGAACACCAAATTGTCCAGGAGAAAATTCCAAATAACTGTTCATGTAAAATGTCCATGTTATTTTCATGGAGAGTACCGTGAGTCTGTTGTGGTTCACTATTTTATGCCTATCTTTTTACCAAATTAGGTAAATTGTTCCATTCCATACCAAGCTATTAACATTTGCAAAAAAAACTCTTCATAGTACACTTTATAGCAGCAGACCTATGTTTAGTATTCATTAAAACTATTTATTTAGCCTAATTATTTTATTATTAAATCTGACATTCTTTAAGGAAACATTTTTAAATGAAAATCCAAACAGGAATACAGGAATCATCTCATTCTGCAGTTTTGCTGTCGCAGGAGTATTTTAATACTACTTGTAGGTCCGACGGAATTGGACCACACTTGTGTTATACATGTATTTAAAATCTAATAATTCAAATTTCAAAACAGCTTAGCCTTATATTTGGAAAATTTAGGAGATAACCAAACCTACAACAATTAAAAGCTTTGGTGCACGTTTTTGGATGTTATATGGATTGGACCGAATACAGATATTGTTTTATAGCTGACGGTTCTTTTGTAAGTATAAAACCCTAAAAAAACAAAAAAAAATCCTTTTTGAAAAAAAATAAAAAATTTTCTCTACCTGTATGGAACAATATAAAGTATACAAAGTATATTTCAAAGTGATTTAATTTCTCATCACAATATTTCATACTGATACAATATACATATCTTTGCTGCTTAAAGGTGGAACCAACATAAATTTGAAGCTCCACAACTATTCTGTACATCGTACATTATTTCACTCTATAATAAAATATTACAAACTAATCTTACCCTTATTCGTAGATTGTATAGTCCTACAGATTATATGTCCATTAAAAATAGAAACCACAGAAGAATTTTTAAAATTTAATCAACAACAGTCTAATATATAAACGTGTACGAATATCTAAACACGACAAAATGGAAGTAGTGAGTTTCACGTTAGACGCGTCGTGTGAAACTAGTTAACTTCAAGCGCCACCGAGTGGGGCGCTGTAGGAGCGTCAACCCCCCCCCCCCCCCACCACAATCACTACCCCCCCAAACCACCCTACGGTCCATTCCTCCGTTGGACGGTTGCACTTCACAGCAACTTTAATTAAATTTGTTTGGTGTCAAGCGCTTGAAAAATACAAACACAGTCGTCTCAGTTACAAGGAATCTATGCTAATTAAAAATGTCGTTTTAATTGTGTTTGTTTATAATAATTACGAAAGGTTCGAATTGCTTAGAGATGCTGTCAAGAGTGACTTTTTATAAGTTGGACGTTTTATTTCTAAAGGTTGATGGAGGTGGGTTTTTCTGGTCTTGTAACGTTTTGCTGCTTTGAGTCATGATTTATTAAACTTTTTGACGGTAGAGAATAATTTTAGTTTTGACTCTTTATAATAGTTGTTAAGATTATAAAAAGAAAATGAAATGGGTTGAAACATTGTGATCGATGAATATTTTTTAATCGACTTAATTTTAATCATATACATTTAAATACTTACAGATTGATAATTAGATCGTGTTTTTACCTTATATTAATCATCAAGAATACACTTCTTATTATTTCATAATTGTACATCATCCATCCATTATAACTACCATAGAAGAGAATAAGTCTTCCATTCTCTCCTCAAATTCCCATAAAACTCCTCTTCGTCACTTCTATCTAGTTTTTGTGCATGTTAATTATATTATTAGTTATAATATTATAATTATATTTATAATAAGGGACACTCTTTACACAAACAAACAAATTCTAAAGTTCTTTAATTTTAAAATTCACAAATTGTCTTTCTATATATTTACGATAATATTAGCCAGAGGAAGAAAAGTATGATAACCACGAATGTGTACATTTATTATTAAAAATGAAGTATTTATAACCTTACAATTAAGTAATACGAATCAAATCTCAGAATGTAATTTTGCCTCGCACATCATTGTAATATAAACTAAATAACATTCCAAATTGCTTCCAGTCTGATTCGTTTCTTAAGGCACTCTAAGACCAATTCACTTGCGTAATATCTCAGCAAAACATTTCGTTTTATGTCTTCAATTTCCCTGTTTCTTACAACAAAAACGGCATTTTAATTTTCGCTATGAAATGCTATGTGCAAAAAAGTATATAAACATTGAGAATATCTATATTTTTAAAATATATTAATTACAATATAAAAACCTAATAGTCATCTTGAGTTATAAATTACTATAAGTATTAAATACATGTGTTGAAATTAAGTATTACATTTACTTTGATTTTATTAAGCTGATATTAAAAATTATAAGAAACATTTTACCTGATTAATCCTTAACTCAAAATGTTTTAAGGGTTTTCAGACAAATTGAATTCCTCTCAGTTACTCAATTAACCTGATGAGGCTTTGTTTACAAACATTTGGATACGCTCCATGTGGGCAATTAGTGTATCCAATGATGTAAATTAGTTAATCGAAAATGGTTGTGTTGTTAGCCTAGATGTTAGCGTCTTGGACTTTGGTGCGGAAAGGACGGGTTGGTCATAATTAATGACCTTTATATTAACAATTGGTGTCATTCTTACATGGTAATATATTTTTTGTTTAAAGCTACCATTAATTGATTGAAAATCTTAATTTTACTTTTATCTTCTTATGATTTGAGTTGGGAACCTGAACGGCATAATTTAATCACCATTTAATTATCATGTAGCTTAAAAAATAATGTTATTGATTACCTATGACCGTGCGCTTGTATAACCTTTTGAAGATTTAAAACTATTTCCTCGTGTGCTCTCTCAAAAGGCTGTAATACTAAATTTAACTATATTATTTAAATTTGTATGACGTATCAATTAAGTAATTACAACCCAATAACTACAGATTAACAAGACATGTCAATAATATATTTCTAAATAATTAATTTGATAATTTATACTACTTTTGATTCTGTTAGTCCCAGGTCCAGTAATTACCCAACAATTATAAGAAAAAAAATGTTTACCAAATTCGCAAATCACTCTCATCTGAAGAATATTTTTTAAAACCTTACATTTAGATTAACACCAAAATCTTTCCTAGAATAATAGTGGTCATATATCTCGTAGATTTCCGCAAAATAGGTGTTCTGGCTTATTTCCTTTCCTTATAAATATTAAGTAGGGCAGGCATTCTTGCGTGAAATATCTTACATAATACTGTTTAAGAGGAGGTTTTCCAATTAAATGTATGATATCATTTCCCATCTGGTCCAATGAAATTTTTGAAAACATTCAAATGCATTTTTCTTATATTTAGTGGTAACCAGTTAAGGTTTACAATTAATTATATGGCAAATAACTTTCCCTATATAAGTACTTTACCTATTTAAGAACAGTTAACAGCAACGTGTTAGTATTAGGTTTGTGTAAATATATAAATCTGTTTGACTATACTTAAAAATATAGGGACTTTGCAACCTAATGCAACTAATACCATAAGTAAATAATGCTTGTTACTGACTTTCAACGGGTTTATTTCTTGTATATTCCGGTTTGAAATATAAATCTGTTAGTGTTAACTAAAAAACCGGAACTGTTGTTTAATTTTACACAACGATGCGAAAAGGACTGTATATTTCCCTAGAGACCATTCCCCACAATCTAGTTACTCGACCTCCAGCACAAGTAATATTAAAACTTTAATTTTCCGAGTTTATGACCCAAATATTGACGGTATTCCCATATTATTGCTTGGTGATTGAGAAAAACATTAAAGTTATGTAGTTGATAAACATTTACTAGGTTTACAGTATCGTTTGCGATTACTTTTTATTTTACTCTAGCGTATTCACCAAGTTAATAATGGCTAAATAATTAGTATTCTTAATTTCTTAATTCTTAATTTACATTTTTAAAAACTCTTCCAGTATTTGGCAAAAAAGTTAGCAAGATGAACAATTGCATATTTTATTCTCCATAGAATTGTTCAATCTACTGAAAATTCCTTTTGTAGTTTGCTTGGCCTATGTGTATCCCCATATGACCTAAATTATCCCAAAAAGATATGCTGGATCATCTAGAACAATAAAGGTTTTTAATTTGCACAATGTTTGGAATGAGTAGACCGGAATATTGCGTCTAAACCCTCCTACAACAATATTCTATATTTACTATGTGTTTGCATTTTGGAATGGCTTTCTTAAAAAAAAAAAAACTATTTTTTTACGAATCAATCCTCTTTACTGATCATATTTTGTTATCCAAAATTCTAAACAGCTGGTAGTGAAGGGTAACGTTTAGTAGTTTACTCTGCTTACTGTCCATTGGAGATGTATAAGTACGTTGATTTCCTTCCATTGGAATCAATTGCTCGATTATTTAAAAAAGTAAAAAAATAGGCTTTTTACGTGTTTAATTTCTTTAAGGTAATGCTAACAATGCAATAGCTAAATAGCAAATATATTTCTTGCATTATTTTACTAAAAACAGCCATGAAATTTGAATTTGTTCTAGCTCTGCTAACATTGTTCAAAGGCTCTTACTTTGCCCATGTAAATTAGGCTACAACCTGAGCTCACATACACACACGACGTACAATATAATTGTAATAGTTGAAAATTTACAATTTGTTAATCGCCATTAAGAATAGTAAATCTATTAAAATCCTGACTGCTGTAATAGGATTTATATGTATTTGTTTGTGTTAGGCCTACATAGTGCTTAAACTTACAAACAACAGTTGTACCTTGTACGCACGTTTTCAACAAAGACATAGTGACAAAATACCTGATGAAAACTCCGTTAACACCGTAGCTAAAGATCCAATTTCGCACACGATCTAACATTTCCTGTCCTTTTACTGTGGACTCGTGTTTTATTGAAACCGCTAGGAAATGATATCCAGTATATAGGGGTTCATTTAGTTGGTCCTGGAACATAAAGGCCTATATTATTTATTGGTTGGTAAAAAGAAAATACTTTCTGAATACCTAGTTTCTCGTTGGATTAAGTTATTTCAATCAAGTCAGCTGCTTTTATGGAATCATGGTAGAAATATAAAATTAAATAAACTCAAGACTACTTTACTTAGGTAAGTTTATATAGAACACTTTAAATCAATTGTTAAATGTCTTTTAAGGATCTTGTAAAGTGTATAAACTAGACATAGTTTTCCTCCTTAAACCTTGAAAATGACTGTCAACATTGCATACTGACGTGCGTGTGGCACGTCAAATAGAGTTGAGCCAGTACTGTACAGAGGTGAACTGATAAAAAGTAGTGACAGAGACCAGGATTCGAACCCACGACATCATGGCCTTTGACCCAAAGTCAGGACGCAACCGACTGAGCCACTGAGAAATCAAATGTAAAAATATACATTATAAAAATAAACATTTATAATATAAATAAAAAAAATTCATTTTTAGCAAAAATGAAAAATGCGTGGAGTTTTTAAATTGTATTTTGAGTCACGCAAGTTTAGAGACAGCAATATCTTTCTTGGCAGCTTGTCACTGGCAGTGTGACATCCTTGTTCTTTCATACAAAGTAGATACGTGAAGCTGGTAAATAAAAATGTAAAAATCGTGTGTCATATTGACAAATAATCTATTTTGACTCAACTTTCACTCGATAAGTCAAATGATAAGCCTGACGATATTTTTCAGTATACATCTAGAACAAATATAAAGGTGAGCTTTACTTTTTTGATATAGAAATATTATCACATTTATTTAGCCCTGATCGCCTGAACTTCAGCCAGGCTAAGTCTGAGTGGCATTATAAAATACAAATTGCTGCGAAAGATTTTTAAATTAACTATGAATTCTTTACCAAATGTTGAAACACATACGTTATTTTTTCTTGTAATATAGAAATTTTTTACTTGAAACGAAACCCAAAGGTGCAAAATACAATGCACCTATGGTTTTGAATAGTTCTTATAGCGTAATAGAATAAAAACAGTATCTTACTGTCTAA